AGAGTTGGTAACCCAGTGCCGTCAGGAGAGTGCCGAAGCAATGTAGTCGACCACGAATGAGCGTACCAACGGATGGAGAGGCAACACTTTGTAGTTTTAATCGATCCGGTGGGACGGGGGAGAAAGACGAAGCACCCTAGCACGGGGGATGAGTCGGCGGCGTGCGGAGAAAGAGCGAGGGAGAACATACGGAAGGCGGAAAGAGGACAGACACGGTTTGCAGGAAGTGGAACGAGTGTCGCCGGTTCACCGGCGAGCGAGAGAGTAGAAACGTCTGCGGGGAAAGCGGGAAAGCGGGATAGAAGGAATAGGGCGAGAGAGTAGAGACCCACATCCTGCCGACTCCTACAACTTCAACCACCAGCTGGCTACACTCCTGCCTCCACGGGGACGAGTTATATGTGAAAAGCACGTGGACCCTCAGGAGGAAGAAGGACAGCTATATTCATTCATTTCCTCGTATATTTCGTGTAAGAGACTTTCCCTTCTTCTATGTCGACGCTCGACGTAACGTGCTCGTGGGGAAAAAAAGACGACCGATACGACGCGTTGAATTTCATTGACCCCGCGATAATGTGACTTTGCACCTGTATTAATCAATTTGTTCTTGTCAAGATCTTTTTCCATACATTTCGAAGTAGTGTGGAAATTATCATACTCGTCTATCTATATATGTTCTAAATCTACTTATACGCTGTCTAGCATTTATCTATGTTTAACCTTAAAATTGTATTACAATGGCTACAACGTTATATCCATCGCTATTAATTTTACAATAATTCCATCAAAATTATCCATAGCATTAGTTACAAAAGAATATGAATAACTTACAGAGAAATATGGATATGAATATGAATGTTATCTATCTTGATCATATTTAAATTGCAAAATTAATTAAACGCCTTTATCACACCACAATGATGTAACACATATAGATTGATAAAGATTTTTATACTCGAACGGACTTTTTTTACAATTTATGAGTAAATAATTGAAAATATTACATTAGATTTTTTTACTCTGTCACTAGTTTTGCGTATCTTATAATCGACAAAAAGACAATTATTTTAATTGGGCTAAATAAATACATTAATTTAGAATTAGCTAAATGTAACAAAAGTAGCAGTAGAAGGAATTTCACGAAGAATTGAACTGGCATTTAAACTAAACTGGCTATCGAATCGCTCGAATCGTGTCTAAGGATCGAATCACGCTGGAATATGGTCGGGGTCGACGTCAGAGAAATTGAGGGGAGAGAGCATTAAAACACCGAGGGTGCGGACGGTGTCAGTGGCGTCGGCGAGGGCGGCACGTAGGCAGGAAAGGGGTAAAATTCTATCTTAATAAACGCACCCTTCCAGCTCGCGCAGCGTGTAACTTCGTACGCCTACAGTTTTGTACGCATCGGAATGGATTTGTAATCGAATCATGTCAGTGATTTCGCTCTGATTTGGAATTAAGAACGGAACTAGAAATGAATCAAACGAAATAAATTGTAATTAGTGGAAATTGTACAAATTATAATTTTAATTTTTTCGTATATATGACTCTTATCAAGAAACACATGTCTCACACAATCCCTCTCTTCCAAAAATATTATATTTTATAATAATAATTGTACAACATAATTCTTAAAAAACGGTGGTTCTGATGGTTAATATGTATATATCTTAAAAAAATGTAATGACAATATAATATTAAAGGATAATTTAGTAAAACTCCAAAGAAATATATATATTCTGCAAATTGCCTCTTGAGAAATAATTCATTGAATAAATAAATGCATGCTAAAAAAATAGACACTTTATAAATCTTATTGAGAACAATTTTATATACAAAAAATTTAAGTAAAATATTAAGTAGTTAAAATAGAGCTGAAAGTTTTACAGCTCGTACCCTTTCCGGTCGCGTCGTCGGAGGGTTGAATGCGCGAAAATGTCGCGTTCCGACGCATTTGTAACTGTCCATAAAAATTAATATCCAAATAAATCTAATAATATTAATAAAGATTACTCGATTGGTATAAAGTACTTCTGCACGAATAGAGTAAATGCGGGTAATTACGTGAAACGATTTGAAGTAGAAACAGATTATCATTTCAGCAATACGCACTTATCACTTATACGCGTTATGCTTCGGTTATAATTCCGTGATTATCCAGCTTGAACAACGATTGAAATGACACGAAACACCATCATCGTCGAGATTATATTAATTTGTGTGATAGGCCAAAACATTAAAATGCTATAGCAAGATACTTACATTGTTATCATCATGAATGTGCCTCTATTGCGTTCAACTGCCTAAAAAGGAAAATCAAAGAGTGAGAAATAAATGAATTGGAGTCAGCTATCTTTGACGTGCTATATTTATTAAAGTTTGCGTATTTTTTACTCAAAATAGATAATGAATTTATTTAATAAAATAAAAATCGCGAAATCCACGTCATATGAAATAAATTATTATCGTTCCTGTAATTTTTTCTTGTTGTAATTTGTAATATTTTAATTCCGATGTGTACAAGAAATATTTTTACTTTATGCAGAGGAATCATCAGTCAAAGATGCTGTAATACTGGCTGCTGCATATATTTCAATTGAAATGATATTTGCGCCAATTTTTACATAGAATCCACTACTTTATAATTTATTATGTCATACGTATCGCAGGTTATAAGAAAGTTATGAATCATTTGTTCTTAACAATATTTAGACTTGGATTCAATTGTTTCTATGAATAACCTTATAATTGATTAACAAGTGTACCCACGAATTCTTTCTCTTTCACTATGTCAAATATTATTAATCGCCAATTAAAATTAACAGTTTACGATCAAGAATGGAACTTGCCACTTACAATATCGCTGACAATATGTTCTCCAACGACATCAACGACCTTCTTATCGTTCAACTATCAGATTGGTACTGGTCCTATCTCTTGGTCCCATATCTGTTGGTTTTACCGATCAATTCTTAAAATTACACCGCTACTTACGTGTCGATCATGTTCTTTCCTCTCGCGACGGACTCTCCAGGAGTCTCATCCTCGGTACCGATTGCTCCTCCCGGGCATCCCCGCTGGCGAACTCACCAACCCCGTCGGGCTGATTTGCATCACGGTTACGAGCTCGTTCGAGCTCGTGGTGGTTATATTACAGAGGGAGCGGGATGCGAACATGCTGGAAAAACAGAGACAGACAGAGGTACCTCTCGCGAGCGTACCACCCCTAAAGTGCATCGCGGGAGGCAGCTCGGACACTCATAACAATCATAACAACGGGATCTCGCGAGTAACTCGTGGACCACCTCCGCGCATCGTACCGCCCAATGTACCGCCCCCATTACCCCTTCTATGCTGACTACGTACCAGGCGGGAGAATCGTCACGGCGGGTTGTCTTCCCTCGGTTGTACAGCGGTGCCACTACGCAGCCAGACTGCGGACCGTCAGGGTTCAGGTCCGAGTTTTCGCGGCGAGCTCCAACCGCGCAACGTGCACGACCACGCTGCCAATCAAGGACAGCACGAGGGGAAGACTGGATCGCCTGCCTTCTCCGAGCCACCGAATCCGCGACAAGATCTGGATCGTCGTTCGCAATATCGATCGTGATTCGAGGAAAAATTTCATTCCGAATTGGAAGAGGAATTGGAGCTAAAAGACAGTTGGAGAAGGTCAAGTCGAGCAGGCAACGCTCCTTCGAAAACATCGCACCTCGCGATGTGCCGCTAAATAAATTGTGTGTGTGAAACTACGTGGTGATCGAGAAGTTTGAACGTGCAGTTGCGTGCGTCGATTTATCCGGCCTATCAGCACGTGGCCCATAGGAGTGGAATTTTTTCGGTCTGCGCTTCGCGGACAATTGAGCGCAGTGAACTCTGTGACAGTTGGCCAATGGAACGTGTGATTAAAGCATTCTCGGTTAAGTGATAAACTCAAACAGTTAACTCTTTTGACAATCGTATAATTTCATCACCAGCTGTTTCAAGTCAAGGTGATTGCGGCGATTGCTCCGGTTTACTCCGCACTCATCGAACGTAAATTTGGAGTAAGTGCGTGGAATGAGATAAATCGCGTTAAGTGCATACAGAATAGGTGAAATCAAATTAATTATAAAGGGCCCAACAATTTTGACGTAAGGAATCCAAATTAATCTATTAGCTCCGAAAAGAGATACGCATTCTTAAATAGCGTATTCGCTTGTCAGCATTGTCACTGAACAAAAGAAAACTATGAGACGAGGACTCCGGCTCTAATAAGTTTCTTATTATTGTGACGAGTGCGCTGATAATTACGATACGCGCATGTTCATCGCGTGAACACATCGGTGTTTTTCAACGCGAAATTATATGTTACGGACAACAACTACGAAGTGCATGGCTTGACGCGCACAAATAGAATAATTAAAACTACATTACACGTAAGGTGTGCTATCTACCAATTATCTGCGCGGTGGAACTTTATCGAGGATCAATTCGGTACATTATTGTTCCGAGATACCCCGGTCATCCGCAATATCCAGGAAACTGCTCGAAGACATCTCGCCTTCCAAACTTTCTTTCAACTGTTCAAGCGAATACAAGAGGAGGTTGGATCGACCAAAGCAGTATTTTATCAAATTGTGGGCAATTAACTGTTTGCTTCTTAATCGCTCCTAATTAGTCGCAATTACCCGCAGTAATTAAGCAGGCTGATGTCATCAGCGGCTGATGTATTAGTGAATCGTCCGCTTCTTGACGCTGATCTTACTATCAAAACGAACTATTAATATTCGCCGATAGGAAAATTACCGAGAGATCGGCAAGGAAAGCGACAGAAGAAGGAAATATTTAGAGAGAATTTGAAACGAGTCGTGCCTTGGTGTAAGCGTGGCATCGAAGAGAACGAGAGGGGAATAGACATTAGGCTGCCGTTGATCGACGAGATCGGCACAAGATCCCGCGACGGAATTGCACCGTGGCGAAGATAAATAATCGCCGCTAGATAAACCCGCGTCAGGACGACGTCCCAAATACATCAGTCACAGATCGCCTCAGGTGAGTGTCAGAGCGCGAGTTTGCCCCTGCTTATTATAAGCCTGGGTTAATCTCGGTAATTAGATGGGTCTTCTAAATGCGCCCGGTTGCTTTTGCACGTGTGTAGCCTTGCACTCACACACCGATTAACCGCGCGTACGAACGCGCCTGCGTGCGCACCACATGCACGCGTTTATATATATATATGTAGCTTACACATATACAAGCATGTTTTATATGATGCTTCAGAAGCAGATATCAGTAATGGAAATTCATTAATTCTGTATTTTACGTATCTCATAACCTTGAAAAACAATTAAGAAGCAGTTGGATACAATTTCTTATAAACGGTAGAATACTTTTTATCGGCATAGCAGCATCGTTTATAATGTTAATATACTAGATCTAATAATGCTTGACGTGTTGAATGAACCGGATAGATTAAGACACGCTTAAAGCAATTACTTGAAGAATGAAGCGGAAACTCAACCCCGAGATCTATTTATCCGTTTCCACTGTTATGCGCATATTCAGATGGCAATTGCGTGCCTCGTGAGCGATAATCGTTGGCTCGATACCATTTAGTTAATCTCGGTAATTAAGGAAGTTCCTCTCCCAAAGCTGGTCACGCGGGAATTCTGCTCGCAAGGGATCGAAAGCAGCGTCTCGTTCTATGCGCTTCACTCCAACTCGGTGATAATTTCAGCCAGATACTTAGCTATGTACTAATAATTAGCGCGATAATTATGCACGCCCGCATACTAGCGTCGAGTGTGTGACCTGGAAATGCTAATTAAAGGATCGGCCGGACATATAAACGTAATACCGTTGAGCATGGTTCTTAATCTTCCTCATTTTTTTCCATCGGCTGATAACACAAAGAATCAATATTATGTAGATATTATATCAGATAAGAGTGATAGTACGTTATAATTATCATGACTAGCAAGAACGTGATATAATCAAGCTATTTTTATCTGATGTAATATCCTCATTTACTTTAAATTATGTATATAATTATTAAGACAATCATAAATACATTAGAAGTAAAAACTAAATTTAAAACTTAAAAAAGGAAATTATAACTTCAAGAAAAATATAATTAAGATCAGAATTATATTTGAATCAATTAATTAATTAATTGTATTTTAAAAGCTCGATTAAGATATCATTTTTTAATTCTTCTCAAAAAATTTATTGCGTTTTCTAAAATATGGAAGATGATATTAAAATTTAGCAAATAAAAGTCATGATAATAATCTGGTAACTCGATAATCAAGCGACGTGGTAGCGTCGCGACGCCAAGTACATAAAAAATATAGTTATCATGAAATAATTCATTTTGTAAAAAAGTCGTTTGTAAAATTTACATTATATGACACGACACGACATGACAAAATATTCTTCTATAATATAGTATAAACATATTTATTTATTTATGTTAAATCTGAAACAATATGTAAAAATAAATACGTATAAAAGAATATTTATAGAAGATTATTTTGTCATGTCGTATCTGTATTGTACATAATTATATATTTAATATGGATCAATATACACATACATACTAAAGCGTACGAGAAAAAGAAAAAGTAAAGAAAGAGACAGAGAGAGAGAGAAACAATATCGTTTGTCGACAATTTGAGTACAGAACATTACGTCACATGTATACTGAACTAGGTAATCTAAATTTACCAAAAAGAGCCCAAAATAAAATTTGGTAAAACCGACTTGTTAGTTGTTCATAAATAATGAGATATCGCAATACTAGATGACTATATTTCTAGATGTTCCCATTATTTATATATAAATGTTTGACCTAAGTTTTCCTCTGAAGGAACTTTTATCAAAAATCACGGATGTCGTGCGAGCAATGAAGGAAAAGCTGACATCCTTAGGTTTTTTCGATGATGCGAGATATGCATTGTATATATCGACAGATATTTGTGATTAAACACGGCGATGTCGTTGAACGCGTCGCGTCATCTCCCGGACCATATGACCGGAGAGGTAAACAGGAGCACGTGTTGGCGGCGTGACTACGAGTGACGGCATGAACTCTGGGGGTGGAGAGGAGGCAGAGGCAGAGGTAGAGGAAGAGGGGGTGACGATGTTGGACGGGAAGGGTGACGAGGGTGGAAAATCAGTGTGAGCTGCCCGAGGGTAGGAGAGTTCTTTGCTTGCCGCCTCGGGAACACGAAGGGTAGATGAAAGAGAGGGTTGGTGGAGTCAAAAGGGAGGAAGAGCAGTGAATTCTAGCCGCCGAGAAGGTGGAAGCGAGATGGTCGAAGCTTGGCCGAGCAAAATCGTTGTCGGTGAGAATAGACGCGGAAAGCTGAAAGCAGAAAATCCCAAAGGAAACACTTGACTCGCGATATCGTTGGTGTAAGCGCTTTGGAATCAACACAAAAGAAAACGAGATGTCTCGTGTCGGTTAAACGGCGCCGAATTTTAGTGAAGCTGTCTTGCAAGCATTACATGCTTTGCACGCTATTTCTCTTCTAATTTCAATATTGGAAAATAATTATTTCTAACTTTTATGAATCAATTTGTAAGAAAGCTTGCATATGCTAATCTTTTCTGCTTAATTACACATACATATATACATTTATATATTTATGTATGTATGTATGTATGTATGTGTAATTACGCAGAAAAGATCAGCACGTGCAAATTTTCTTTGTTACACATTGATTTATGAAAGTCAGAAATTACACTGTGTCGAGGTCAAGAAAACGAATCGATGCATTCCTTTTTTATATCTTTTTGTCTCACCCCTTTCTGTTCTCTCTTTTACTTCCCTTTCTTTTCTCTTATTCTTACCGCCCTCGCTCCCCCTTCCGTTGGCTTTTCCATTCAAACTGGGCTTCCCCTTCGCCCAGTTTTCAGTCCCTACCGACAATCTCCTTCACACGATAACATTTCGTTCTACAACTTACCCACTTTCAACTCGCTTTACAGCCGCGCTATTCTGTTTTCCCCTCCGACCGAGAATCTTCATCGATTATCGACTCGGAAATCGCCCCGGGTTAGAAAGTTTTGCTGCAGAAACTCAGTATGTCAAGTGTGAAGCCTTACACTTACTTGTCGTTTTGCACGCTACAATCTAACGATAACGATTATTTTCTGCTTGCATAACAGAAAATTTACTACAAATTCAAGATACAACCCTTTTTTTTTATGCATGTTACAAAAGATAGCACTATATTTTTGTAAAACTACTGTTACTCATCGGCGATGAAAGATACACTGTAAAAAAGTTTGATTTCATATCATATTAAATCATACTATTTGTGAGAAATATATTAGAAATTTCATCAATTTTGCATTGTAAAAAAAAAAATAGCTCTAGCGAACCCTTTGTTGCGCCAAAATTTTTCCCCGTCAAATTTATGATTAGCCTCCCACAATATTGTGAAAGAAAGCAATGTGCGCGAACTCATTAATTCTAATAATTCATGAAGAAACACGCACGCACATAATAGCTCGGAGCGGCTTATGATTTGACGGATAGAGAGTTGCCTCAGCACTCGTGTTTTTATTGTATACGCTGGGTAAGCTATATTTTGATATTTTAATAGACCTAATTTGCATGTAAAACCACTTTCAAAATCATTTTGTCTCCGAACCGCTGCTAGTGTTGCCTTTCTCAAGAGAAGAACTCGAATATTAACAAATCGAGAAAGCATTAGGTAATTCTTCAAGTAAACATTCGTTCACATCTCTTCTCCTCTTTCTTTTTTTTAAATAATAATACTATTTCTTTTCTCTCTTCTCTCTCTGTTTCTTTTTTTCTACTACAAAAAAAATCATTAGTAATTTATTTGCTCTTTAATAACAGAGAATAACTAAACAATTTTTTAATAGAGCGATTAGCAATTTAAGATGAAGCGATGGGCATTCTGCTGCAAATAATCGAGAGCACTTTTAACAGAACAGCTAGTTTGCTTATAAAAACGAGAAAAAAGGGGTCCAATGAACCGAGCTGCACGTTTTTGGGCCAGATGTTAATTCCGACGACTCAGCATGAGCCACGAAGGCGGTTTAGTACGTAAATACATCTTCAGCAGGGGGTGCCATTATAATGGGCATGTGCGGTTAAAGTTCTATTTGTGGTAATTCGGAGTTTAATGCACTCGGAGCGTTCTGATTTAGCCAGCGAGCTGACACTTTTTTATTCGGCAAAACCCCAACGACTCTGGCGCCGTAAAACATGAAATATTCTTCCTGCGCTTCCCTCTGAAGGACACGTCGCACGAAATTGTTAGAGACGGCATCGTTTTCGCGTTGCGGGTGCCAAGTCTCAGCGAAAAGTGACATTTAAAAAAAAACGATCGATTTTGCGAGATGCGTTATAAGAAGGTAAATGAGTACCGTTTCTGAATAAAGCGGAGAAATGGCGTTTCGGATTAATATAGATATTCGTCATATGTTGCCAAAATCTTTTCGCGTATACAATTTTATTTTTGTACGGTGAACTCATTTCTGTGTACGGGATTAGCCTTCGCTTCGATTAGCGTCTCGAAAAAGAATTTCGCCGGAATAATGTAAAATATTTGTAAGGTCAAACGAGAATTTCGATGGGGGCGTAAAATATCGCGTCTTCGGTTAACGTGTGTTGATGCCGAACCCCTTTGGCGCCGATTTATGGGCACTCTCGCGCTCGCGGATGCGCGCGTTACGCGCTCACATACACGCACACGCACCTATTCCACGAGTACATTCGTAACTAAACCGACGAGGCGTTCGCACAGTCGCATTAACGGCCGCGCTGTTCAGTTTAATCCTTGCGTTTCGTGACTCGGGACAAAGCCCCTCGGATTTCTGACAGAATGGTATCGCACGAAACGGCCATTACCTTAGCCGATATGCTTATGTACGTACGCGAGTTAAAGGTCGATGCGAATTAACCAACACGGATGCGGCGGAGATTCTTTGTACACTCGCCTTAATTATGCTCGCTCTCGTGCAGGCGAAGCGAAACCTATAGAAGGGTATAGCATGAGAAGCGGTTTAATCTATCGCGCGAATATTATATATTGCATTTACCGCTCGATCGTAGCAAACCGGCGAGTACATATAAAATAATCCGAATCGACCGTACACGAGCACGTTCACAAACGTTCACAAGCATTTACCGCTCGATCGTAGCAAACCGGCGAGTACATATAAAATAATCCGAATCGACCGTACACGAACACGTTCACAGACGTGCGCGACTTTTATTCATACTTCTCTTTAACGTTTAATGCCTGGTTAGATGCCACAAAGCCGCGATTATGCCTCGCCATTAGGGCGCCCGGTCGATTACGAGATCGTGAAAAAAAAAATTCGGGTAAGGACAATGTCGCGATGGGTGGTTGCCAACTGGTCCCGCTGGGGTCGTTTTATTTCACTCTGTTTTAAGTGGGTATAGAGGGTTACTCGCACGCATATTCCTTTGCTCATGTTATTCGCCCTCTCAGCCGAATTCAGCAAATACAGATCAAAAACTCGGACCTTCTTTGCGAGTTTCAATAAATCTCATCTGTTACTTGTTGGTCATTCCGTCAGAACTATGAGAAACTTATTAGAAACTTATTGTTTGGTTTGATTCTTGAAAAGATACAGAGGTCTCACGATTTGGATCATCATTTCGAACGAAGCTGGAAATATGTAGCTTAGATGAGTGAATCGGTACCGGGAAATTGAACGCGAATATCGTCAACGAGTGCTACGAAGAAATGGTCAGTGGTTTGTTGCATGCGTGGCCATATGGCGATTATCCGCCCGGTTATTTATAGCTTCGGACTTGAGCACCGCAACGGAGCACCCCAGACACGCCGCGCTACGATTTGTACGTTGCCGTCGCGCCGCGCGCGAATTGGACCGAGCCTAGAATTCTAAAATCGCCGTCTTGACGGTCGGGAATCGCCCTCGTAAATCGCGAGAGCCACGGAGAAGCCTTGGCTTAGAGGTGGTTTATACGCACACCTCCATAGCCCCAAGCGGCGTTGTCGTACCAAGAGAGGAGAATGTCGGCGGCTACGTAGAAACTAGCTGCTGGCCAGAGGCGCCCGGTTGTTTCTAAACCCACCTTATCTACTGGACCCCTATAATAAGCCGCGATCTGAGACCCCGTATATCCCCGCCCGCACACGCTCCAAGGAAGCCCGCACGCACGCACACACTGCTGCTGGCCAGAGGCGCCCGGTTGTTTCTAAACCCACCTTATCTACTGGACCCCTATAATAAGCCGCGATCTGAGACCCCGTATATCCCCGCCCGCACACGCTCCAAGGAAGCCCGCACGCACGCACGCACACACGCACGCATCGCACCGCACCACACTCACATCATGCTCTAGGTAGCTACCCGCAATCGTTGAACGTGTATAGTCCACGGAGAGCGCTTGCAATTACAAGCTGGTCAACATATAATTATCCCCAATGACCATAAATTACCAGATTTTTATGCGCAACATTCTTAATTACCCTTTGAATTAACATCAATCAACCCCTTAATTGCACGCTGCCGCTAACGCTGCCTTTACGTCGTCGTTGTCGTCGTCGACGATGTTGCCTATAGAGGAACTATAATGCGAAATGGCGATGCATGCCGGAGGCTAAGAGGAGGCCGCTGAAGAAAGACGCGCGGACTGACTGACGTGAGAGAAAGAGACAGCGAGAAAGACACGACCACGACAAAATCGGGAAACCGCGGGTGTCGCTCGAGGACAATCCAGGAGGGAGGATAACTTCCAATCCTCGAGAATATCTCCGTCGCATCGCGTCGTGTCTGCACCGAACGACAGCATCATACGTAATGCATCCGTATTTTTTATTGCCCTTAAAGGTTCTCGAGTGAGTTTCATATCAATCGCCTTGGCGTATTAATCGCGTGTTCTATTACACGGACTTTCACCGTTTATCCAACGGATAATTATTACCAGAGACGCCGCAACCGGAATGATCGTTAGTGAAAGAGGTTTACGAAAGAAGATTTATTTTATCATTTTGGAGAACAACTCGATCGTACGGGAGAAATCGAAAATTTTTAAGAAAAGTAATTTTTAGATTAAACACGAAACGCTGCTCTCTTATACGTGGAATACTCGATTTAATTTCTACATAGAATATTTCTAGAGAAACCCCACGGGCAGCCCTTATCCTTTTCTGAAAGATTTATACGATCTCGATCGTGAGGGGCGCATTTTTCAAGGTCGCGGGAGGCGAAGGTACCAATTTTCAAATGGTCGGTCGTGGTGACGTTTGAACGATCGCGCTATAATCACTCGCGATATCTTCGTCCGGTTAAGAATTCCTCTTCTATTTCACGAATCACGAGCGGGGTGATGCGATACGCTAATGAAACCGCACTCTCATTAAAGCATCCAAATCGACGATACTAATTGGCTAGCTTTCGGAATACCCGGCATTAGACCTCAGGACGCGATATAATAATCGCTGCGGACGAATTCGGTTTGGACAGCCAGTGGTTAAAGCGTCTAGTAATTTCACGGGCACAGCCCTACAGCGATTAATATGATTTCGACGGAAATTAATGACTGCAAACGGAAAAAAGATTGGTTGCGTATAGTCCTGTTCCGATGGCACGTTCGGATAAAACGTTCAGAGATTAAATACTACGGAATCTTTTATAGAGAAGGATTTTACTTTGTCAAAATCAAATTTTTTAATGCGGCAATTTTGCGATATATTCGCGTAATATTATCTGTCTTTTTGATACATATTATGTCTAAGAATGATTTTTCAAATGGTATCGATGAGAATTCATTTTTATCTGTTTATTGCTTCCTTGATATGAAAATCAAGTAATGTTAATTAATTATAGTTTAATTAACCGCAACACTTTTCTCGCTGCATGCCTACATATATTAATACTACTTAGCAATGATAGATGCGATTTCTTCTAATTATAGCCGCTATACATTCTCAACCGGCATATTTTGCCGTTTTAATTGATTTTCACGAAAATATGATGTCAGTATTAGATATAATAATTTTATTCTTAACAATGATTTATCGTTTAATACCATGATGTAATTGAGAAAAGTATAGACAGAATTATTTATTAAAAAGTTACCGTGAATTATCTTGAATGCATAAAAATGCTAATTCGATGTGTATTTATAACTTTGTTTACAAGAAATTGTACATCATATAATATAAATAAAAATATGTAATGTCTGACTTCTTTTGGAGAGATTTGAATCGAAAGAAAACCGTTTCTTTCATTTTTAAGAAAACAAATTCAATCCTTTTATTAAAAAAAAAAAATTAAAAAAGATTTTGTTGGCAAAAAATGTGTAACATTTGTATCTAATCTATAAATGTTTAAGATAACATATTTACACGACGGAAAGATTCAAAGCGTAATAGCGAAATAATGCGAAAACAGGTGGATAATGTCGAGCGGATTCAAACATAAATTCCATTCATTTTTCTCGCTTTTCGTTTCGCGAGGCATGGTATAAATCACTTTAGGTTCAAAGTCATAGCAATCGGCGGCAGTCTGCGGCCACCAACAGAAAAAGACGCGAGTCCCTCTCAATTTCGAGATCATTCCGGCGTCTTGAGAAACTTTTTCGCCATTATCGTTAAAGAAATATAAATGCCATGTAACGTGCGCGTATCAAGATACTCATATTTATAGGAAGCAGGCGACATTAACACCGAAGTTTGCACTTGTGAGCGGTCTATTTGGTACTCAACGATCTAACGCTTTTATTATAAACACGCCGGCCGTTTTAAAGCACTGCATCAAATATTTTTACGATGGCCATTATAAAACGCCTTTTATGAGGAACAAAGTAGCTCGCAGGCAGAAGGTGTTTTCTCGCCCTTTGACAATAATTTGTCCAGAATAACCGGCTCGTTTCACTCCTGGGTTTCCCCCCGTTCCACGCCTGGGCTTCCGCTCGATGATCCATCCAGCCGTTCGTCATAGGCGCGTGGCTTTTAAAAAGTAAAGCGCTGGACTCGGGCCAGCGCAAAAATAGAAGCAGATGTTATTAGTTGCGTTCACCAAGTATACGACGGCCGCCGAGGCGGCGGCGGCGGCGACGACGTCGGTGGCACTGGTAGCAGAGGAAAGGGTATACGCGAAAAGAAAGCGTACGAGAGAGCGGCGTGTCCAGACGGTAGTGATTTCATTGCCCTTGAATTCTTACTAACTGAACGTTTAGATAAAAATAATTAGGCGGATAAATGCGGGATATATGTGTTGGCTGCGGGCGGCACAGCGCCGTTAGTCGGCGATTTTATTCTGGAACCTCTCTCGGCGCCTCTTGCGTCCCCCTCCTCCCCTCTCCCCCGCGTCCGCCAACCGAACGTTTTTGCTTTGAAGTCGGAAGATGAACGGGCCTGCTTCTCTAATTTCCAGCGTCTGCATTCTTAACAGCTGCACGCGTCGCCGTTCGATACGGCTGATGCGGTCCCGCGCGTTGCGCCGGTTTAATTAGCATCTTGTTTACGCGTGTCGTCATTTTCTCTGGTAAAATCAAAACTGATGCGTGTCGATATCGTTTAAGAAGAGTTTTTGTCTCTCGCGGCAAATTGCTTTGTTATTAAATAAAAAAAAAAAAAAAAAAAAAAAGTACAACTGCGTCTCTATTTTTACGATCTAATGTCAATGTAATTATCGTCGAAATGTTCTCTAATTCTAATCGTTTGAATTTATAAGGCGAGCCGCTGATATTAATCTGAAAATGCGAGATCTTTTTATTTTAGCGCGTCGCGACTGTTTTGCGCTATTGAATCGAAACGCGCAAATTATATTCGCTCCATAATGGGATTGCGTCGTGCCAGGCGACTATGGCGCGCCCGCTATTAGAACGGTCCTCTGAGAGTTTTGGTCGATTTGCAGATTACGAGTCCCCGGGATGCAAGGCTGACATGGCGGAGGGTTCGGCCGAGGAGGAACAGAGCAGTACCGCTGCGCCCGCTTCCCCGCCAGCTGATCTTCGCACTCTGAACACCCAATTGTCGCCGCCTTATCACCACCAGCCCCATCTCCAGCCTCGTCTTCAGCATCTGCAGCATTCCAACATGCTGGCGACCGCCGTACCGCCCCGGCACAGCCACAGTATGCTGTCTCATCAGGTGAAAGCGGAGGCAGACCTGGACGGCCCCTGCGATGTGCCATTGAATCTCAAGAGCGAGGTAAGCACAGAAATCTCCCCCATCGATTATTGATGTTGAAAATCGATTGACTGCTCTCGATTGTTCACCTCGGACGAGTGTTTTGTTCGCCGGTGGTTATGCGGCCCGGCGGCGATGCCGAATGAAAATCACAACACGTTGCATGACAAAAATCGAACGATCGCTCTTGCAAAAACAAACTCATTTCAGTTTAATGTGGCAAGTATAGTTAATTGATTTTAATTACTGAGTAAGATATTGTCATATTACGGTATGATGATCTGATGGTCCGTTTATGCTGGTTAACAGTCTTAAGCGATCGCTCGACTTGTGCTTCCGCTGAAGTGATCGAGATACTAAGACAGCGCTATAAAGTGTGTACGACAATCGAGACGATTGTCACACTCGTTGCTAACGGTTTTGTATGTCAATGACAACCAATTGTACGGTTAAGTAGCCGCCACGCCGCATCTCGACCTAAACCGGTCACTGGTCCTTTTGACCTGTATGCGATTAATGTACGAAACAAAGCATACTAAATGACTTCCACGAAACTGACGTGGTCGATATATAGCCTTATTTGTCACGTGAAATATATCTTCTAAATCGTGCACAACACGAAATTTCTTTTTCACAAAAATTCAAATTCGTAATGCGTGGATTTTAGATGATCAAAGATCGCAGAATCAACGATTTAGATCACGAAATTACGTAACATTAACTATGCGTGGATTGATGGATATTGTGAAATTAACTAAATAAATTATCCAATATAATTACATAATGTAATAGATGGTGCATGAAATAGATTCGTGAAATAAGATAATAATTATCTCATCGATATACTTTTCAATAAAATCCGTTCAGTTATATAATTTTATATAATTTTTAGCGTAAAATAAAAATGATTTTCTAATATTAATTATAAATAAATCGTCTTTTAGATATAATTATACTAACATTTTTTCTATATTACCAACATATGTGAATAGATATTTTTATCTCAAACTTACTCGCATGGAAAAATACAGAGAGATTCATGTGAGAATTAAAAGAGATTTTTTTCTAGCGATAATTTTGAGCAAAAGCTTATAAACGAAATTAATAAGTCTATCATAAATTATTTTTTATGTAGTAAAATTAGTTGTTAGCAACGAGAGGCACGGTAGTAAAAATCGGGCGTTGGAACGAGGCGATAAAGTATCACAGGAGGAATCTACGACTGAGTTCTACGATCATAAAGCGGAAAATATTTGCACGTAGCTTATACGTACTCGCTTCGATGAAAGGCGAGCAGTTTTGTCGATGCTTGCACATCAGACTAGCCGGTGGAGGAACTTTAGTAAACAAGCGTCCGGAGAGATTATCAAATGTGTCTACTTTTCTTTCGAACAATTAACTGTCGCTTATCAACGCGATACTCTCTCCGCAAAATTGTCTCTTGTTAATTTTAAGAAAACGGTGTATAATTTTATATAAATGAATAACAAAGACGTACGCAAAAATATTACAACAAATATAAGAATTATATAAGTAAACTCACACACACGTTTCAGCCGGCAATTTCTAATGTCGTGCATAAATCGTTTTATTGATAATAATATAATTCAAGTCACAGCACTCTGATTCATCACTTTACTTCTTAATTGCCATAAGACAAGCCACATGATATTCCCCGCATAAAGAAGTAGACGCTTTACGTCTAAGAATTCGATAATGATGCCAATTAAGTGACAAAGGAGAACAACCGCGACGCTTAGACGCGACAACAGCCCGGCAGTAGAGAGTCTCGAAAACGGCAGTCTCATCCGTTAGCTCGTTGTCCCTGTCCATCCATTACACTATTATCCCCTCGGCAAACACGGGGATCTACGCCGGACTCCACGCATGGACTTAATGCCGGGCGCGCATCTGAGAAGGGAGCGCGCAATTTACGTGCAAAAAAACGAGGATGTTTCATTCGCGCGACCGACAAAAAGAAACAATTCCGCCGGTGTACGTAGCAGCGAAACGTGGATAATAATGTCGTCCGCTTCCTTTTGGCCGACGGCGAAAAGAAAGAATTTTTATGGCGCGATCGATCATAGTCACGCGCTTTCGCATACATAATTCCTTGGCGGCTATCATCGGGGCGCAGTCAATTTTCTGGATCGGAAACGAGAATAAATCTCGGACGCTTTTGTGCAATCGCGCGGATCGATGCGCGGAGATGCACGCCCGCGCGGGGGTTATCAACGGAATAATTTATCCGCGATTTCTCATCGTAGCAGTTCACTCGCGTGAAGTTTCACAGTCGCTCGAACTTCTCTCTGTTCGACGATCATAAATTATTGAATCTTTGAACACGGTATTCTTAACGATCCCCTCAATGCCATTAGCCGTACCTCTTAATTGCGGAATATCTCTCTTTCTCGGGAGAATAATGGATATTCGACGACGCTAAAATAAGTATAAAGATGTAAAGGAGTGAATTTTCAAGGTTCCGCGAGACACACAAGGTCACTCGTAAGATTAAATCGAGTCCTTGGTTTAAAAAGGAACGTAAAGTATCGTGCGCGATTACGTTCTCGCGGCGGAAATTAACATCAAATTACTGACAGAGATGAATAATCTGCTTGACGATTTCGGAAGTACATAATAATGTAAAAATACGAATATCGCACGATGCTGTAGAAGTGCAAATTCGAAACGGATCAAGTACCCTTTGCATTCGCAAAGACCGCAGTAATGTGCATCTATATGCAAATATTCGCGTATCTCACGAACACATTTGCGGTCCGGAAACCGTTGAACGTCCAACGGATGCATCGTCACGAATATTCCTCCACTCGCGACCCCGAAGATTTCATCGGTCACACGAGAGAAGCCGCCAAACCATCTGCAGCTTTGCCACAGAAGCAGCGTCCCTCTATCCAGACCGTCTCGGACCCGAAGACGCAAATTTCACGTAGCTGAATCCGGCGCGTTGACCGTCCGATGGATCGATACGCTGTAACCAGCCTTAAGGCGCATTCCAATTTGATGGCCAGCAGTCCCGGCCGTAAATGTATCTGTCAAGAAAGTGATTGAAGGCAAACGATACAGGGGAATCGCGAAAGGCTACTGGCTCGGATCTCATTATCTCGACGGCTCATTTCAACGAGTTAAATGCATTTCGATCGAATTTTACAATTATTATGATTATTGTCGAACCAGATCCGCGTGTACGGCCTGGTCTGCGGTCACCGATTAAAATCCGACGAGAAGTCATCTCGCCGCAATAGTCGGCAAGTACTTGGCGGCCGCCGAGATACCTTGCGCGCTTTGATCGACCGTAAAAAATTCGGTTATCGTATCGTATTATGGTTTTGTTTACATTCGGTATAATGATATTAATCGGATACATATGTAATAGCGTATATAATAGCAACTATCACGGCGCAATAATCAATCGACGATTTTTTCGCGATTAACTCGTCGATCATATTGCAATCATAAATTAACGCGCCGATCAACGCAGATGAATCGCAAAGGCAATTTTAAGAACGAGGAATATCACAGTCGCACGTTGATCGAAAAATCCATGGTTTTATGACGCATGATAATACGTGGCAGTTGCAAAAGATTTAGCTAATAAAAACGTACGTTTGACGAGCGACCGTCCGTAAAGCAACGCGGTCAGAACGACGAACGTGAAAATGGGTGGCAAAGGGAAGAATAAAAAAAAAAAAAAAAGAAAGAAAAAAAAAAAAAAAGAG